TTCTTATAACTTTTAAACGGTCTTCAAGCGGCACTCAGGGCATGAACTGTCTTCTAGATATAGATATTATTGGTTTGTAAGCGGCACGTAGGGCAACTCGATCGTGCAGGGAAACAGATTTCTATACGCTTGGGGCAGTTCTTATAACTTTTAAACGGTCTTCAAGCGGCACTTAAGGCATAAATTTTCATTTTAAATAGTTACTATCGGTCTGTAAGCGGTACGTAGGCCAACTCGATCGTGCAGGGAAACAGATTTTCATAAGCTTGGGGCATTCTTGTAATTTTTAAACGTTCTTCAAGCGGCACTTAGGGCATAAACTTTCATTTTAAATAGTTACTATCGGTCTGTAAGCGGTACGTAGGCCAACTCGATCGTGCAGGGAAACAGATTTTCATAAGCTTGGGGCATTCTTGCAATTTTTAAACGGTCTTCAAGCGGCACTTAGGGCATGAACTTTCATTTTAAATAGTTACTATCGGTCTGTAAGCGGTACGTAGGCCAACTCGATCGTGCAGGGAAACAGATTTTTATACGCTTGGGGCAGTTCTTATAATTTTTAAACGTTCTTCAAGCGGCACTTAGGGCATAAACTTTCATTTTAAATAGTTAGCAACCTATCGTGCAGGGAAACAGATTTCTATACGCTTGGGGCAGTTCTTATAACTTTTGAACGGTCTTCAAGCGGCACTTAGGGCATAAACTTTCGTTTTAAATAGTTAGCAACCTATCGTGCAGGGAAACAGATTTCTATACGCTTGGGGCAGTTCTTATAACTTTTAAACGGTCTTCAAGCGGCACTTAGGGCATAAACTTTCATTTTAAATAGTTACTATCGGTCTGTAAGCGGTACGTAGGCCAACTCGATCGTGCAGGGAAACAGATTTTTATACGCTTGGGGCAGTTCTTATAATTTTTAAACGGTCTTCAAGCGGCACTTAGGGCATAAACTTTCATTTTAAATAGTTACTATCGGTCTGTAAGCGGTACGTAGGCCAACTCGATCGTGCAGGGAAACAGATTTCTATACGCTTGGGGCAGTTCTTATAACTTTCAAACGGTCTTCAAGCGGCACTTAGGGCATAAATTTTCATTTTAAATAATTACTATAGGTCTGTAAGCGGCACGTAGGGCAATAGGGCAACTCGATCGTGCAGGGAAACAGATTTTATACGCTTGGGGCAGTTCTTATAATTTTTGAACGGTTTTCAAGCGGCACTTAGGGCATAAACTTTCGTTTTAAATAGTTAGCAACCTATCGTGCAGGGAAACAGATTTCTATACGCTTGGGGCAGTTCTTATAACTTTTAAACGGTCTTCAAGCGGCGCTTAGGGCATAAATTTTCATTTTAAATAGTTACTAGCGGTCTGTAAGCGGCACGTAGGGCAACTCGATCGGGCAGGGAAACAGATTTTTATACGCTTGGAGCAGTTCTTATAATTTTTAAACGTTCTTCAAGCGGCACTTAGGGCATGAACTGTTTTTTCGATATCTTTCTTATTAGGTTGTAAAGAAAGTTCCCGGGCACTTTTGGAAATTTCATTTTCAAAGGCATTTTTTCGGAGCTCGGTCGGACTTTGACACCAAGTTTTTTATACTGTTCAGTAGAGGGAAGCCTGAAGTTTTCAATACGTCTTCCGAATTTTATCGATGCCAAGACGTGTTTGATCTGCACATCAAGAAGAGAAATCTTTTCAACCACAAAAATTTCACACTTTTTCTTCTTACGGCCATTTTTAGTGCATTTCAAAGAATTTCGTCCAAACCATGGGTGATCTGATTGGAAAGCCTGTTAACTTCTGGCCCGCAGCTGCACTCGAGTTTTGCGATTTGCGCTCAGAAATTACAAGCTGTCAAACTTGCTTCTGACTGCAACTCTTTTCGCAGCTGGCGTCGCTTCTGTGGGGATCGCCACGCCTGGATGATAGGTCCAAAAGATGTGCAAGGCGTTACCCCACCAATGTTGCCAGCAATCAAAGATTTGGTCCTTTCTGTGCAAAACGAGAAGACTTCATACTCATTTACTCGAAAAATGGTGCATTTTTAGGGGCAAAAAATGGTCGATTTTTCAAACTTTCTGGGAAAAATTTTTTTGCAGCTGGTCCTTCAAAAACATGAGTGATCCCCATAATAGTTCCAGCAGACCTCTATATAACTACAGCATCTGGGCTTTCCAGCTCTCATGCTGCCTGAGATAATCCTGCACAACTAGGCCACTTTCCGCGACGACCTTTTCCCCTTCTGCGCACGCTGGTGACCGCAGCGAGTTGCTGAGAAGCCAGCAAGACAAGCATATGTTGTAGACAAAATTGTCTTTGCAACGAAGTTTCCAGCTTCAAAAAAGAATCAATCTGCTTGAAGTTACAACGATTTGAAAAAAATTTCCGCAAGTGCCCGGGAATTTTCTTTACAACCTAATATATATAAACTGGAAGCATCCATCGAGACGGCGAAAACCATACATTGTTCTTCCACCCTGACGCCCCCCTTCAGCGTTGCGGAGGGAGAGTTGTTGACAGTGTGAGCACGCGAGAAATCACGCTCTCTCGCAGAGGTTAAAGGCAGTGTCTCACCAAAGTTAAGGTCGCGCGGATCTTCACATAGTCTATCATAGGGACCCCCAAATAGGCCATTGCAACAAGTCCCACTCAATTTGACCCCCTCCACGGTGAGAAAAATTCGCTCAAAGTGGTACGCGGAGAGCGAATTAGTACGCGCGGACGACTCCTTCGGTCTCCCCCCTTACGCGTTTGAACATGTCCCTCCACTTGGCCATCCACCCTCCCCTCTGTTGCTGCCACTGTGGCTGAGGCTGAAGTTGGAAGGTACAACTCGTCCACGTTGCTTCCGCGGGGCCTCCAGAAAACGGGGTTTTTGGGAACGTCGTGCGATTTTGAGCCCATACAGTGCTAGACACTGTCCGACAGGCTTGCAAAATGCAAAAATCTCGGCAACTAAATTTTGGTGAGACACTGCCTTTAAGGACGATGAGAATTCTAGAGAATCTTTCTTATATATAAACTGGAAACATCCGGCGAGACGACGAAAACCATACATTGTTCTTCCACCCTGACGCCCACCTTCAGCGTTGCGTAGGGAGAGTTGTTGACAGTGTGAGCACGCGAGAAATCACCCTCTCTCGCAGAGGTTAAGGACGACGAGAATTCTAGAGAAACGGTGTACTCCCATCCGCAGGCAAGCTAGAGAGGAGAGAGTTGTCTTGACATTTGTCAATTGATCGCACCCTATAGGCATGCGATGACGGCAGGTGTTTTGACTTTGCTTGCGATGACGAATTGTGATGAAATACCGTACATTCGGTTTGATCACGGCCCTCACAGCTGTAGCATACCTACTGCTTACAGACACAGTTCCACTTCTTTTCACGTCCTTAGCTACATTCCTCCTTCATTCTAAAGACTCCCTTGCCTCCCCCCCCCCTCTCCCATTTTGCATAACAGTTTGGTAGGAAATCTGAGCATTGTAATTCTTCATAGAATAGTCGTCAGAGCTCAACATTTTGTGAAATGTTGACGAAAATCCCAATCCGAAGAGCAATTGAACAGCAAAGAGTGGGTTTTTGGCACGTTCTTTCTCTGCGGCTGACCAGTTTTTAGAGCGAAAATTTCTGTTTTTTCCCATAATTTCCACCAAAGACGGTAAAGACCTCGATTTCGACAAAATTTCAGCCAGAAAATGCCTTTGCTCCCGAGTGAGGACCAGCATGGAAGCTGTGGTCTCGCTGGTTGAGCTCCGGCAAGCTCTTTTGTGGCTGACCTGTTTTTAGAGCGAAAATTTTTGTTTTTCTCACAAGTTCCACAAAAACCTCGATTTCGACAGAACTTCAGCCGCAGAAATTCTGTTGAAATCGAAAACACCAGCCTTCCTTTGCTCCCGAAGGAAAGACCCACCATGCATCTGCATTGGTCAGCATTTTAGAAAAGCGATTATGTTGATTTTAAGTGAGCAACGAAAGAAGCAAGTGTATCAAGTAAGTGAAATCTGGTGGTGGCATTTGGAGGGAAAGATCAGGTATTTTTTGTGTCTACCTGCAAAGTCTGATTTTTGATTTATTTAGCTTCTCCAGAGAGGAGATGTGAACACCGTTTATACTTAGATGCAGTCCCAACTAAGCAAATACTAATGTATCTGCCCCGACCCACTTACAGCGGCCCGTAGGGCCGCTAGTATATATATATATATATATATTGGGGATGATCAGCATGCTCGATTACCCCCCTGTGCCAACTCCCAGCCCCCTAGCTCAAATTTTCAAAAAATCGATAAAATCGATAAAAGTAATCGATAATCCCGAAAACCAATATTGTATTCGGAATCCCCATGCTCGATTACCCCCCTGTGCCAACTCCCAGCCCCCTAGCTCAAATTTTCAAAAAATCGATAAAATCGATAAAAGTAATCGATAATCCCGAAAACCAATATTGTATTCGGAATCCCCATGCTCGATTACCCCCCTGTGCGAACTCCCAGCCCCGTAGCTCAAACTTTGCAAAAAAATCGATAAAATCGATAAAAGTAATCGATAATCCTGAAAACCAATATTGTATTCGGAATCCCCATGCTCGATTACCCCCCTGTGCGAACTCCCAGCTCCGTAGCTCAAACTTTGCAAAAAATCGATAAAATCGATAAAAGTAATCGATAATCCTGAAAACCAATATTGTATTCGGAATCCCCATGCTCGATTACCCCCCTGTGCCAACTCCCAGCCCCATAGGTGAACTCAGCAAAAAAATCGATAAAAATCGATAAAATCGATATCGATCGATGACGAAAAGTAGCCTATGACACCCGCCGGGGCCCGAAGTGTATGTGTGCCAAGTTTGGTCCGGATCGGTTCAGAAATGGAATTTTCTATTCGGAACATACGTACAGACATACATACATACAGACAGACAAACAGACATTCAGCTTTATATATAAGATATATATATATATACAAAGAAATCACCACAAAGTTCAAAACTTTCCAACTTACGGTTGGTCAGTGAAACAGTACGCTCTGAATTGTACGCCGGAAAACCCGTTGCATGCTTTACTGCAGCCAATCTTGGTTGTGGTATCTCTTACAAGCTGTGGCGAATAAATTAAAAAGGAATCTTTCCTTGATATACAAACCACTTACATTTGCGTATTCGTACAAAGCGTTCGTTATGGGCTCATACATCACTTCTTCAGCTGTAATGGCAGAGTCTTTGAGAGCTGTCGTATCAATTGCAGTCGTCCATTTTTCTATCGCATCATATAGATCTGCATCCAATCTAAACTGCGATTGCTGTGTCAACATCGCTGCATGCATGCATTGAGTCTGCACCACAAATACACTAAAATCCATTATTTTTATTACAATAGCTGTTTCTAAGGTGGTGCACTAAATTGGAATTACTAGCTACTTCTAAAGGTAAATGTGTGCGGCTTGATGGCTTATGACTTGCAGGTGGTTGCACCTCAAAACGCTAGAGTACATTCATCTCAGTATCTGCTGTGCGACTCCCTAGATGATGCCAAAAACAGTTGGTTTCAGAACAAGTACCATAGATTTTGAAATTCGGACAGCTATCTAAGAAGCTTATCAGAAGTGAATACATTTACGAAATAAGACCTGTAGGTTTTATGTTTTGAAAAGTTCTAATTTTGTCAGTCTACGATAAAATCCCAATAAGATTCTCACATGTATGACATCTGACGAGCTTCAGCCAGTTTTGGGATCGGGATGATGTACGTAGGTACCAGGGTATACTGGAGTACTGGTCTATACTACGGTATATGCTCCAGTATACGCAGGTATACTGGAGACAACCGAGCGAAAGGTCAGCCAAAGAACCATATGATTTCTTTGAAAGTTCGACTTCGTTTCAAGAGTACATGACGTATGAGTAACTTGTTTTTGTCCGTTAAAAAACTGATAACTTTTGATAATTTTTTCAATATATTAGGTTGTCCCGAAAGTTTTATCGGTTTCTTAAACTGCTATAAAACTATGCACGATAAAGACCTAAATGAGGCAGCTTATTCTTCTTTTTGTTTTGATTACGTTTCCGAGCAACAATCCTGTATGCTTTTTCTTGATAATTGTTACAATTCTTCACCCGTCATTTTTATTCGTTCAAAGTTGGGCTAATTTTTGAAAATTTTATTCCAATGTCCCCCACAATGGTCGGTCGCCTCATCGTGGCCTGGAGGTGACACTGGGTGTCGAACTGTGATGCACAGTCGAGTGTATACTTTGGTAGGGCCTTCCAAGCTGTGAAGGAGTTCGACGTTTTCGGTTTCGGCCGGATGCCTAGCTAAGAACCGGCCACGCCAGATACCCGCCGTCTGGCTTCTTCTGGTCACTAGGCGGTCCCTCCCGCTCCAAGCCCGGGGTCGGCGATCGTCCCGTGGAAATTAAGAGTAGGTTTAGTAAGCCACCTCTTGTAGGAGAAAAATTCATATTACTCCTCCAGTTAAAAGAATAGAAAGAAACCCTGCACATCGTATCCCGCCTACGGCGCCGGGTGGTAGCAGAAACGATGTCAGGGTACTCAGGGCGCCTTTCGGATCAAACAAAAAAACACGTCTGCCCGGACGACACGCCATGGAGACTGCCTTATGCTCTGCACCTACAACGTCAGGACAGTTTCTACAAACGCCGACCTCCACGCTCTTCTCGACGCTGCAGAGCACATCAACTATCACATCATCGCTCTGCAGGAAAAGAAGTCCAGGAAGAAGGACGTGCGACAGATGAGTAATGGACCCTCATCATTCGTGGTGAAAATGTTCCATCACGAATCGCTGGAGGCGTTGGCTTTGTCGTCCACCCATCTATCGTCCATCTTATCGATTCGCACGAGATCCTATCACCCCAACTAGCCATCCTACGAATACGCCCTCCACGTCAGAAGACCATCAGCATCATCAACTGCTACTCGCCAACATCAGCTGCTGACGACTCAGAACTAGATGCTTTCTACGAAGACGTGGAGCAGGTCGTCCGCAATGAAAAGTCTTTCTACAAGTTCGCTGTGGGCGACTTCAATGCGAAGATCGGAATGCCACGAGAAGAGGAATATAGGATCAGGAAGTTTGGATATGGCTTCGAAAGGAAAACGGCAACCGTCTCATTGGGCTTCTCTCCGCCGCAAGATTTTTTCATGGAAGTTCCATCTGGAGAAAGAAAATCGCCGGTAGACTTGAGAATCGCCCAACGGAACGACTCACGCTGAGATTGACCACATTCTCACCAACCGAAGGTGGAGCTTGCTTGATGTCTCAGTGGTTTCATCCCTCTGCAGTGCCTCCTATCACCCCTCCTTCAAGCGATGATACGACTCAGCCGAAGGCTGGAAAAGAATCTGTCACAGTGCCGCGAGAAGGAAGGAAGTCGTTTATGATGGTAACAGGCTGGAAGAGCTCATATCAAGTTGTGACTGGCCCATCGAGGAGAGCCAAACGTACGATCACGAATGGCTTCTGAAAGGATTGCGAGCCTGCAGAGAGTGCGCCTTAGTAACTTCTGGGAAGAACTTGGAACGTTTCGAAGACCACCAAGAAATTGCTCGAAAGAAGAAGGTTTTTGAGGCAGGATCCGAATGAAACCCATCTCGAGCGACTGATAACCAAAGCCAGTTGCAGAACAGCTTTGCAAGAGGATCTTAGGAAGTACAGGTAAGCCAAGATACTGGAAGCAGCCGAAGGAAGACGAAGTCTCAAGAAGTGCCGAACGGACCTCTGCGAATATCGTGTAGCGCTGGCTGCACTATTGAACGAAGACGGGACTCCGAATTCTTCCCGATGCAAGATGGAATTTATCGCGAAAAACTTCTATACTAACCTCTTCCGCTCATCAACACCCGTGCCGATGCCCGTTGTTCCCACTGGAGAAGTACCACACGAATTCTACCTGCTGAAGTGCGCACAGCGATTCAGGCCATGAAGACGTCCACGGCTCCAGGACCAGACCATCTTTCCGTCGAATTTCTGCGAGCCGGAGGGCAACGTCTACACGAGATTCTCGCGTCGCACCTAACATCTTACCTTCAGAAGGAAAGGATTCCCGATCAGTGGAAAGCATCAAGAACCGTCCTTTTTTTCAAGAAGGGCGAACTGGAAGATTTTCGGAACTACCGTCCAATATGCCTGCTGAGTATGCTGTACAAGCTTTTTACAAAGATTATCAAGATCATTCTCAAAAAGAAGGGGGTAAGTTCCATCACTCCCCCTATCGCAACTATGCTTAGGAGTTCACTTTTTTACTGATTACATTGTCAATTTCTAGCTACAACCTGCCTTTTCCTTTCTAATAAGTTTGATTCGGGTTTTATACGACTTCGTGTCTCTCAAAAAATCTTGAAATTTTGACTTTCAACAGATTTCGGAAAATACCTAAATTTTTTCTGCTGCTAGATTATCAAAATCAACGATCTTAGTTTTTTTGACTTGCAACTAGCATCGCAGTCTACGTGATGCCAGAAAATGAGAGTGCTACATTGAATAAGAAAAAATGTTATGGTAAAAGTTGCAAAACTTAAGTGCCAGTGTAATTCACCTTATCTCGTTTTCAGCTACAAATAACCCGATTTACTCAGACTACCACTCAAAAATGTTGCAGTAAACATACAAAAACAACCCGGTTTTTCCAATCGGATCATCAAGCTTCCTATAGTGGCAATATAAGTCGACTGACGCCTCCTGTTCAAGATCGCAATCCCATACCTAAATTTTCGTAAAAATCATCTTGTTACGTTTTACCTGGTTTTAAATTAACGTTATTGCTGCTACAGTCGACTGCTGGATTAAGTCTGGTTGTGGCTGCTCTACTTTCGAACTGCAGATCATTTTTCGATTAGTGAAAAGCTGCTGTGCGTATGATATCAATAGCCTAACAAATTTATCTATCACCTTGCATTTTCTAAGTAGTACATAATTTCACACGTACAAGGCACTCTATTTTTCGATTTAAGCAAACCACTAGCAGCTTCGCTGTGTTTCGGACAACGATACTTGTCCCGCATAATTCTCTTTGGCAATATGCAGCATGATATAAAGTCCTTTGGTCGCAAAATGCTTTAATGTGTCTAAGCTGGTCAATTTTAGATAAGAACCCTGCGCTATGTATGCTCGAAATCAGGATAGCATGTATGCTCGAAATCAGGATAGCATGTATGCTCGAAATCAGGATAGCATGTATGCTCGAAATCAGGATAGCATGCAGATGCCGGGGGAGTAAAGCCTGTTTAACAATGCCGGGGGAGTAAAGCCTGCTCAACAATTATGTATCTACTAGAACAATGCATAATTCTTGCATGAAAATAGGCACAGTCAGCAGTAATACATATTTCTTCTATGCCTAAATAATTCCTGATTCACCATTCGCCAGAGCAAGGTTGACTCTAAAAGATAGTGCTCAAAGTTTCGCAACTGTTTTGATTCAAGCGAAGTTAAAGCCAAAAACGAAAAAGATTCTAACGCCAAAAAAAAAGAAAGAAATGGAACTTCGTTCAAAAAACTCCTTAAAAGTTCAAACTTGCTCATGCATCGGCATTACGTACAAGACATTTCTCTATGCAGTTGCTGTATTTTTCTCTCAGCTAGAAATTGCAAAAACGAAGTTTTTCAGTTTTTTTCTAAAACAATGTTGAGATGTTCATCACTGACAGTTGTGTACTGCAGGTCATCGGAAGCATGAGTGTGAATTTTCAACGTTTTACAGCAGCTGATCTACGAGAAATATCGAACTTTTGGCAACTAGGCATGAAAAGTTCGCAGAGAGAATTTCTCGTGAACTAGCTCTTCTAGAAGGCTGAATATAAAGATTTACTGCTAAAGGCATGTAGTATACGACTGTTAGTGCTAGAACGTCTTAGTACTGATTTGGGCAGGACAAGGAAAACTTCGTTGTCTCATCGTCTAACTGAGGAAAAATACAAAACCAAAGATAAATGCTTTACGTGGAAGTTTAAGCGTGAGGAAGCACGAACCTCTGCAGGAGGTTTTTTTCAACGGAGTTACGCTTCTGTTTTGATTTGTCTTAAGGTTTTTGGAAGCATGGTTTTCTTTCAGGTTTTAGCTCAAAAATTTGCCTGGATTAAAGCTAGTGTAGATATTTGAGCACTATCTTTAGCGCTAGGTTTGCTCCATCTAATAATATTAGATTGTCCCGAAAGTTTTGTCGGTTTTTTCAAACCACTATAAAAACGCTCACCATAAAGACTTGAATAAGTTTTAACATGCGTTCGATGCAGCCTTTTCCTTCTCTTTCTTACGAATACAATTTCGAACCACAATCCTGTATGCTTCATTTGATAATTGCCAAAATTCTCCACCCGTCAATTTTATCTGCTCAAGTTAAGCCAATTTTCAAAATTTTCGATCCAAAGTCTCGGAAGGTGTGAAGTATAGATCGAATAGAGCAATTCTCGTACTACAAGGTAATATTTTTAGACTCTCCTAGTCTGCTATTTTTTGCTTCGAGAAATTATTTCTTCAAAGGTCTCGATTTTTGGCAAAGCCATGAAACACGTAACTGCAGCAAATACACGAAAGCTTTTATTGTGAAATGGAATATGGTTATTATTAAACATTATTTATGCAACATAATCAAGTTTAGTTTGCTTTGAAAAAAGCAGCCTTCTCAGATTTTCAGTACTTTCACCTATTCAACGTAATCAAAAAGCCGCGGTTTTTATTAAATAAATGATTATAACGGACCTGATAAGCGTGGTCTGTGTAATCTAAGATGGGTACAATATAGCCAAAAGTTTGCAATGCCTAATAGTTATCAGCGCTCTTTGAAAACGTCAGTATAAAAAATTTTTAAAACTCAGGAAATATTTGGCTTACTGCTAAGCTGCTCAAAAAACCATGGCGATAACATCGCAACTACAGGGTAGATCAGGGATGAAATTTAGTTGTAAAAAAAGGATAAAATTCTGAAAAGTAGTACCTACGTCATTCATGGATTGGTGCTCTGTGAGTCTTGGCGAGCAATGAAAAAACCGACAAAACTTTCAAGACAACCTAATATATCAAGCTCTATATAAAATTCAGGAAAATTCCGGATTACTGCGGTCTGTACCTATGGTGCAGGAATTATGGGATCAACCTAGTATAGGGCAAAAGTCTGGGAGCCTCGTACTTTTTCAGATAAAATCAGAAGGAAAGTACGTAGATATATAAAATTTGGTGCACACATAAAACGCACTTTACAAATACAACACCTCTCACATTTTGAGATTCTCCCTTCTGGCTTGCGAGCAACCCCTCGAAATCTTGGCGCGTCCGCTTGTCATGGCACGCGATCAGTGGTGATGATTCGTCCTACTCTTCACGATAACTGCTTTTTCACCAGGCAAATGCCTAGTATGATAGAGCAAGTTTTTGGCTACAAAGTACTGCAAAGAAATTTTTTTGCAACACTTAGGATACAATTTTTGGAATTTTTAGTGAAGACAAGTGTATCGCATACTGGAAATCTGGATGCGATTGCGCGAACGGGAGCAAAAATCGTAATCTAGAGAGCATTGAAATTGAAAGTGCTCCGTCGGTCGAAATCTAATAGATGCTTGTATAGAAGACTCATGGAAAGAATAACCTAAAATTTAGTGTCTGCTGCGCTCCATAGCCTTCAAATTCATCTTGAAGACAAATGGCCACTGGCACGCAGTTAGTATTCGCAAATTTCTATTTTGCGTTCTCGAAAGAATAGTATCTGACAAACACAACTACTATGAAGTGATAGCGCAAAGCCTCCTCTACATTTCTTGCCTCGAAGTGCCCTAGAATAACCACTGTATCTTTAGCTACAAAATAATTTGTGAAGACCAAGATTTTCGATATTTCCTGAAAGATTCCTGAGAGATTTTGGTGTAGTAGCATCCGATGCAGCATTCAATCTTTTTTTTTACGGTTGTGGAATGGTTGCAGCACATTCAATGAGCTCTCGGAAAATCACCGATCTGCGACACATGAATGGTCAAATTTCACAACGTTTCTAGATTTGTATATCAATCTTTCAAAAAAGTCTAAGTAATGACTCGTTAGAGCAAACCTTATAGGGTACAGTGCATTTTTCTTTTCTTTTCCAAGCTCTCCATAATTTTTGAAAAGTTTTTTTAAACAAAACCATCGGTTTTGGCAGCTTAGGTTAGCCACAATGACATCAAACACCAGTATATATTCTGAATTTGACCACTAAATTTACAAGGTAATTGAGAGTTTACGGATTTGATTAACACATTTCGAGTTTTCGGGTACTCAGATAATTGCATCGGAAATCGCGACCAAAGCCTGTTACATGGCCCGCCGCGGCCCATATATATCTTATCGGGAACGCAGCGGCCAAAGTTAACTTGGGAAAAGATTATCGGGAGGGTCGCGGCCTAATCAAATCATTCGACGAGCCGCGGGCCTTATTAAAGGCTGCACTTCTTACTGTAGGTTAAGGCGCAACCCGCGTGATGTACGCCGCAACGGTGGGGCCACCTCAAGTGTTTACAAGGCTGGGCATCGCTTCTCGGATTTGAAAGCTTCTGACAGAGCTGGGTTTGTATACTTACGAAGTGAACTTCACAGTCGGAATGTTATCAAGGACATCAAATGATGTCGATGGATGAGCAAACAAGCTCGATTTGCACTCAAGTCGTCATCGTGAAAGACGGGGTAAAAGGTTCATTCAATTCACTCTTCCTAGGTCTTACAAGCATACTAATCGGGTCAAATATAGGCGCTTAACCGGCACTTACAGGATGCACTCGGCGGTCACTTATCGGGTGCAGTATCGCTTTACCGGGTAGCTCGCGGCATGGTAGATTGGTGGTCGGGCAAGCACCCGCCAACTTCCCGTTGCAAACCTCTGAGCACTGCGGGTGAGTTCAGAAACATAAGTTATATGACTTTATCCCCGAAACTTTACGAATCGAAAAAAAAAACACTCATTGGAAAAAGAAGAAAACTCTACATTAAATGACAACCGATCGATTGATGTCCTACGAGGTTCTAGTGACCAAGTAAATGGAAAAACGGAATTTGGTGAAATCAATTTTTTACCATAAGATATGACGAGTTATTTGAAGGAGAGAAGAACTGTTTTGCATCACGTAAGATGTTTATGAAACTAGACATTTCGAAAAGCATGAGTCGCAGTTTCCGGTTAATTCCCAAGGGCTTACAATCGTTGCAACGACGTCGTAACCGTTAAAATGAGGATGCTGCATCGAATGCTACCAAGATCTCTTAAAGATCTTTATTCCATCGAATGTGGCGCCCGTTTAAAAAAAAGCGAACGAACTTGATGACCTACTATATGCAGCAGAAAGTTTGTAAGGATGCAAGCCCTACTTCGCACAAAGCGAAGGCTTGCAACGATTTTGTGAACAATGTGCGCAACTTGGTTGCCCATTGTGTGCAGTTGAAGGGAGTAAAGTTAGCGATAGAACTATGGACTTTTGCCGAAACTGACCAAATCTGCAATTCCTTTTGCCTTCGGTAGGTTTTCTCCTCCGCTACCATTTTGCTGCTCTCCATTGGCCAACTTTTGACGAGCCTTATTTACGATCTCGAGCACCTTATTCTGTGTGTCTACTGCCAAACCCTTGTACCATCCACCGTCTTCATAAATTTTACAAGGCTGCGTTTGAGCGAGGGAGATAACGGTTACCTCAAAAAGTCAATCAAAGAGACTTAACTTTACACAACAATAAATCTCGAAAGATACCAGCAGTGCGGCTGCACGGAAATGGTGTTGCATTGTACAACTAGCGAAGACAGGGAATAATGGCTATGTATAAACTATAGGCTGTGTGATTAATGCTCTTTTGAATAACTTTTTTACGAGCTATTCTTCTCCGTCAGAAAATTGCACTGCGCTTGGTATGTTACATTCATTAGAAGCCAACTACACAACGTTCAATTGACGGTCGCTTTTTCGTAACGTTGTGTTCACGTTGTGTTCGACTTATGAATGCTGTTATCGTACATTTATCAATCACAAATAAAATTGCATACAGTTTTTTTTGTCTATTTGTTAAAATGCATCGTGATTTGCTAGATAGTACTTTCCAGCAGATTATTGTTACAAACTGCATCTCCTCTGCTTCACAGAGAAGTGGTCCTCTTGTCCTTATGCCTTCCGTGCTCGCTTAATGAGAAAATCCTTCAAATCTTACCCAGCAGAGTTGACCATCAAAAATATTCCTATTTACACGTGTAATGATTTGTTGCAAATTGATATCGACATTCAATGACTAAGAATACTTATAGGCATTTCATGATGAGAAAAAAGTTTTGTTTTTGTCTAAGGCCCTTATGCACATACATCCCGCGAGGAGGAGTCATATCGCTAGACCAGATGGATTCCCTCTTCTTTCTTTATCTGCTCAGACACTCGCACTGGCTGGCGGCCGTTTAACTTTAACGGTCGGTTGGTTCGTCGCCGACATTTCGGCCAGATCGTCAGCCGGTCTCCAGCCGGTACCCGTACTTTAGCCGGCGATATGCGTCAGCTTAGCAACAAAATGGCACTGGCCAGCATTTCCCTCTCTACATTCTAGCTTTCGTTCAGCACTGTAATTTCAATACAGGGTGGCACGATACATCAACATTTCTATTATTTCACAACACAATGCGAAGAAACACGGCAAAAAATGTTGCATGAGATTCATAAAAACACATTCGCCTACAAAGCTAGTAACTTTTTATCGAGACCATTTGACGCAACAATTCACATCGTTGGGAAATTCTTCCAATTGCATCGGTTCCAGAATGTTCTTTACGGACTGAAAGCCACATATGAGCAACTAGCTGGCTTACCCGGCTCCGCCGTATCCGGACCAAACTTGGCACACATACACTTCGGGCCCCGGCGGGTGTCACAGTCCACTTTTCGTTATCGATCGATGTCGATTTTACCGATTTTTATCGATTTTTTTGCAGAGTTCACCTACAGGGCTAGGAGTTGGCACAGGGGGGAAGTGAGCATGGGGATTCCGAATACAATATTAGTTTTCAGAATTATCGATTACTTTTATTGATTTTATCGATTTTTTGTAAATTTTGACATGCGAGGCTGGGATTTTGCACAGGGGGGTAATCGAGCATGCTGATTACGAACACAATATTAGTTTTCAGGATCGTCCATTACTTTTATCGATTTTATCGATTTTTTGTAAAGTTTGACCTGCGGGGCTGGGAGTTTGCACAGGGGGTAATCGAGCATGCAGATTACGAATACAATATTAGTTTTCAAGATCGTCCATTACTTTTATCGATTTTATCGATTTTTTTGCAAAGTTTGAGCTAGGGGGCTGGAATTTGGCACAGGGGTGTAATCGAGCATGCTGATCACCCCCCTTGGAAATGATCAGCATGCTCGATTACCCCCCTGTGCCAAATCCCAGCCCCCTAGCTCAAACTTTGCAAAAAAATCGATAAAATCGATAAAAGTAATCGATAATCCCGAAAACCAATATTGTATTCGGAATCCCCATGCTCGATTACCCCCCTGTGCGAACTCCCAGCCCCGTAGCTCAAACTTTGCAAAAAAATCGATAAAATCGATAAAAGTAATCGATAATCCTGAAAACCAATATTGTATTCGGAATCCCCATGCTCGATTACCCCCCTATACAAACTTCCAGCCCCGTAGGTGAACTCATCAAAAAAATCGATAAAAATCGATAAAATCGATATCGATCGGTACGAAATGTAGCCTATGACACCCGCCGGGGCCCGAAGTGTATGTGTGCCAAGTTTGGTCCGGATCGGTTCAGAAATGGAATTTTCTATTCGGAACATACGTACACACAGACATACATACATACATACAGACAGACATACAAACAGACATTCAGCTTTATATATAAGATAATTCTGCATTCGATAACCTGTAAGTGAGAAACTACTTACCCTAATTTCAAGTGTACAGGGCGGATGAATTTTTTTCTGAAAACGAACCACAGAGCCGAAGGACTTCGCGATCAAAAAACTATTTACAATGCTGCGTATTGCCTGAGAGTATCGTGCGGCATAAGTCTCGTTTTCCGAAATACGACGAGGCGGCTGAGTATCACGCTTGTATAACGAAAAAGGTGCGTCTTTTACGCGTGAAAATAGGGCAGCAATTGTTTAACTGACACCAGAACTTACATGCTATGCATAGAGTGGCGACAGTTTCTATCAACAGAACAGTATCGAAAACTAAGCATTAACGTAGACGGTTAGAATAGATGTTTTCAGTTCGTAGAAAACACTGCAACGATATTTTAAATGAAGGTTCAAGAAAATTTGTTTTGGAGTGCGTCCAGCAGCGTGACCATCAGATTAGCAGAAATGCGGTCGAATATCAAATAGCTTCCGAACTGTAATGTTATAGCGCAGTAGCAACTCAGATAACGGTATCCAGACGAATATTGAAATACTCAGCAAATCAGAAATAGTCCAGAAATTCAAGAAATGCGAATATGTAAATAGGATTTATTAGGAGCAATACTCGTTTTTACGCGTAACATCTGAAGCAGTCAACCGAACACTTTAGCTCCTTCAGAAAGGTAAGAACACAAACACAACACATGTTGCAGCTGACTGTCTCCTGAAAAACTTGTGAACATTCAATTTGTACCTTTGGTTCGTACCCAGAAAGAATGCGACACGGTTCCGACTTACAGCAAATAGGCATCTGATATCACTCATGTTCTGCTTCTTCACCATGCAAGTCAAAAAGACAGGATTAGAAGGAAGTGGTTACAAACATTATGGAGATTCTTCAAATTTGAAGAAGAGAGCGCAATCATAATAAAAGTGGGCTACATCAACAACTTACAAACTCGGACCGCGAACTTCTTGTGACCCATAGCATTTTTGTTATCCTTTTAAACTTACGTAAACCTAACGCAAACGTAAGGGAAAACACAACAATAATAAAGAAGTAACAGCATTAATAATAAATTGATTGAGTAAAGACGCTTGCTACTTGCAAGTAGAGGATGCTTAGTCGAAAGCACCAATCCAAATTAGACATATATCATCTTAAAGCGCTTGAAACGCTGATTCTTAATCTGTAGTTTATAGCAGCGAAGCGGTTTTGTAGGAAGAGATATGAGGGTGCTTTCCTCTGAGGTTAAGGAGCGCCCTTCAGATGTCAGCTCTTTTCTACGAGCACTATATGAACAAAAAATGGTGTCGGCTGCAATTGAAGCAATTTGAATGAAGATTGCAATAAGGATTATGACACTCATATTACTTTAACAATTACTCAGATAATCGCCGGGGGCAGGCGGTCCGCAAACTCGCGCTTTTCTGCAGGCGGTCAGCAGAATTTCGGGGCGTGGCTGAACCTTCAGCGGGCGGTACTTCCGCGTTCTGCCAGCGGGCAGCAATACAGAATTTTCTGCGAGCGCTCGTCAAATAATATCTTCCAGCGAGCGCTGGCCAAACTTTCAGCAAGCGCTCGGACTCTTTTTAGGTATTTTCGGGCGTACGTCGAGCGCAGGTAAGACTCTGTGTGGCAGAGGTGTCACCGTTTTTAATTACTCAAGTTTGAGGTACTTTCTCTCAGCGGAAAGTACCTGGGGGTTGCGCGGTCCTCCACAAAGGAACGTGCGGCCCTCGAAATTTTTGCATATTCTCGCGGAAAGTCCGCGAGAATGCGGCCACTGCGCCGCAGCTAATCCATAAAGAAACCGCGATTGTTCTTCAAGCATTCGTCTTTAATTTTGCCAACTTTCTTCCAAATTTCTGCAAGCGGGCCGCAAAAAATCAACGAACTATTTTTCCGGTGCGCGCTTGCTCAAAATTCGCATGACCGCCTGCCCCCGGCGGTTATCTGAGTACTAGCTGGCTTACCCGGCTCCGCCCGGCCCTCTCAAAAACGATAAAGGTTGCATTTCTATTCCTGTACACCTTTACCTGTGCCCAGTTCTACGCGCAATTCTCTACTCCCGCTGTGTTAGTAGTCAGTATGCTCACCTACCTCCCTCACCAACTCCCCAACCCCGTAGCTCAAACTTTGCAGAAAAAAACAATAAAATCGATTAAAGTAAGGGTAATTCTAAAAACCGATAGCGTTATTCGGCTATCCGGCCCTAAATTGTTTTTGTGGTGGGTCTTGCTTGAACTCGGCATGTGGGGGTTATTCAAGCCGCTGATGACAAATTAAGTAGTCATTTCGCGTGGCAGCGGGTAAAAATCATGAACCTTCCTGAAACCTTGGCAGGAAATCACTTATGAACCTCCCTAAAACCTTGGCAAGGAATCACCTAAAGTGCTGTTTCAAGAATATCGGTGCTTAATCCCGAGGATAACGGTAATTCGTGTGGTAAAAAGGTTTCCCACGACCGTAATGCTTTCCTTATAGGACCACTGCTGCGTGCGATACATCCTTTGACGGCTTTTGCCTAAGCACAAACAAACAAATGGAGGGAGATTTGCAGCGTGCGTTACATGTTGGGAAAGTTATCAGGATGGCGCTGGAGGCCGCCATGCAAAACAACCGTTTCCCATTTCGTGGATATCTGGGATCTAAATTGGCCCAAAAGCGAAAAAATGTCCATTCAAATCCTGCAGCTCACCATAACTTCACTAACGCGTTATGACAGCGAGCAAGCATCATATTCATAAACAGTGTGCTTGTAACGGTAAAAGGTAAGGTTTTGAGCAAATCTGGAACTTCGACACTCATCTACACCCACCGTAACCCAAGAAAATGCACTATCTTTCGAAATCAGCATGATATTCATGTTCAGCGCGAAATGAACACCCTA